GTTTGTGAAAAGAAATTCACAGAAAAGCGGCTACATTATGAACAGAATGTGATACTCAGAAAAATTTCCAAAAATTATACTTTATTACATATAAATATTCGACATATGGGCAATCGCCCTGGTTTACCATCACCTCAGTATGAGACAATACACACAGACCTAAAACCATATAAAATGACACCAAGACCGGTCTGGATAGATGTGCAGCAAAGACAATGACCGCTAAAGTCTAAAGTCCTTGTAGCACTGGCACATAGGTTAACACTTCCTAAAGGAGGTGTATACAAAAATTATACCATAGGTATACAATATCACATGCTATATATATAGAAACATATGTCATAACCATATAGGTTATATCCCATATAGGGGAATTTCCAAAAATTATACCAAGGGTATATAATGTCACATGCATGCAGTACAGCGATCACAGTATGCGTCAAAAGAGAGGCATAACCATAAGCCTATATTAGGCAATAGATGGATATCACATACAAAATGCAGTACAATCCTATGCCGGCACATGTGGTTGGGGCCCATTTATCTGTAATAGAAGTGACTGGTTCTTAGGACTCTTAAATGAAAGAAGCCCCGATTGTTGCCTGGATGGAGAAATAGATGCAAATAGCAGAACACTGCTTTAAATGGTTTCTTCACCACACATGTGGACTGCAAACCACTTTTTGTTGGAAACAAGATAAGGCCCAATGGATCTTCCGCCTGTTGAAATATACGTGGTATGCCTTGTTTCTTATGTGAAGCACCATAATGTCCCCATCCTGTAGTAAGACAAACAATATGAGGAAAGTCACTGTAAGAGCTTTCACTCTATGGTAGACGTTATTGTCATATAGATCACATGGGACCTTTTATCAAATGACCTGTAACAGTCCACTCACCACCTGTGCAAAGGGTAGTAGGAAAGGAGAAGATGTCCTTCATAAGTACTGCCGTATGGAACCAAGGAACCACCGCTTACATCAGCCGACATACCGCGGGTTCCGACCTCTCCTTGGCGCCTGTGCTGCCTTAGCATGACTCATGGCATGTGAAAAATGGCTACCTCCTTGTAGGTCAGCGTGCATTCCACCTAGTGCGCATGACCGGAAGTGACGTATCTGACGTATGACGTCAATGCGTTTCGCCGATAGGCGTATATCACTCAGCTTCGTCAGGACCAATGAGATTCCTGCATTTCAGCTTCCTATTTATAGTGGGTTAAGACCCACCCACTTATGCAAAAAATTAACTTGCAGTTATTCTCAATGGAAGAAAAAAGGCTAAATACTTAGCACAGCCGCTGGTCATTATTAAATTAAAAAGATAGGCGACTGGATATATCAAAGAGAGGAAAGGCTTGACAATTCCAACAATGCACACAGAAATAGAAAATAAAAAATAAAAAATATATTCAAATGAAGAATTACCACACATTCACCAGAAGATGGCAATGTTAATGAAAGAATCTCCAAACCTATTCATTAAGTCAAAGGTACTTAAGAACACAATAATAATTACTGCAAAACGCCACAAGATGGCGATGTTAATTAACAAGTCCCTCTATGGGTTATTTTGCCAAAGATACCTAAACTTCAAATTAACCACTTATTGGTATACAGTTATTCTCAAAGGAGAGGAGAATAGCTAGCTCAACAGTTAGTCCCTTCTCCACTTCTAAACTTATATTCAAATGTGTACTATCAGGCCATTAGATATCTCCCCAAACATAGAAGGTTTACCTTAATAATTTAACATATTGTCTAGCCATTGACAAGGATGAAGAATTACCACAGGTTGACCAAAACATGGCAATATAAGAATATATCCATACAAATCTATTTATCCAAAAATACTTGGAGATCACATTCCACATTTAACCCCTTTGGGTACAATGTATCAAGTTTATATATCCAATATTTCTCCTTTTTTAGCAATTCCCTATCAAAATCACCTCTCCTTTGAGGAAAGTGCAATGCATAGAAACCTTTCACTTTAGTGCCATCCAGTTTACCTCCATGATATTTAGCATAGTGTTGGGCAAGATTACTTTCAGGGTCATTAGATCTAATATCTCTAAAATGTTCACCTATTTGTACCAATATACATCTTTTTACAGGGACAGGTCAAAATGTATAATACTCTCACTGTAGAGCAATTTATAAGACTTTGAATTTTATAATGAGTGCTGTTTCTTGAATCATAGAAGGAATCTGTACGATCCACATATTTACAAATTTGACATTTTCCACATTTAAACATCCCTTTAGTACGTGATTTTAACCATGTTGTCTGTTTTAACGTTGAAAGTCAGAATGGATAAGGAGGTCACCAAGATTTGGTGCTCTTCTTGCTACCATTTGGGGGCGCTCACCTACAATTTTATTCAATTTGGGACATTGAGTTAAAATCTTCCAATGTTTTTTCTAATATTTGTTTCACAGCTTGCCATTGGGCTCCAAATTGGGTTATCATTCTACCAGGTTGCTCACTTAATTTGACCTTCTCCTCCTTTTTAGGAGATAATAGATCCTTACGGTCAGTTTGATATGCCCGTCTCCGAGCTTTTCTGATTTGAGAGTGAGAATACCCCCGTTCCCTAAATCTTCTATAAAGGTCCTGTGCTTCCATCCTAAAATCATTAATGTTCGAGCAATTTCTCCGACATCTCAGGAACTGTCCCACTGGAATTCCCGAAATCAGTGAACGTGGATGATAGCTTCTGGCCTCTAATAGGGTATTAGCAGCAGTAGGTTTCCTAAACGTTTTTGTGAGGAGTCTTCCGTTCTCAAGTCTAATTTCCAAATCCAGAAAGGAAATACACCTTTCATCAAACACATATGTAAGTCCAATGTTAAAGGAGTTTTGATTTAACTCCTCCATAAAGAGTTTTAATTCCTCTGATGTTCCTCTCCATACAAGGAACACATCATCTATATATCTTAACCAAAATCTGGACATTTACAAGAAACCTTGTTGACCTGAAGACGACCTGCTCCTCCCAGAAACCTAAATGCAGACATGCATAGGCCGGAGCCCACGTGCTCCCATACTAGTACCTCTGATCTGTTGATAAAAGGTGTTATTAAATTGGAAAAAAATTATGTCGTAATGCAAAGTCCAGCAACTCACTAATAAACTCATTTTGTCCTCCTAAAGTAGGGTATGTTTTGTCAAGGAAGTAAAAGGCCGATCTCAGACCACATTCATGTGGGATCGATGTGTAAAGTGATTCCACATCTATTCCCACTAGAAATGGAGTTTTCATTGATAATTCAATTTTCAATTTTAGCCAACACATCTTTAGTATCTCTTACATAGGAGGAAAGATTAGGAACCATGTCTTTGAGGAACAGATCAATATATTTCCCTGTTTTGTCTAGGGGGCCATTAATGGCAGAGACAATGGGTCTACCTGGAGGGTTTTCTTGATTTTTATGTATTTTAGGGATAATGTAAAAGGTAGGGTGATTAAATTCTTCAGTTCTCAGATATTCATACTCTTTTTTAGTTAGAAGACCCACCTCTTTTCCCAATGTTAAGATGGAATTTAATTTTTTTTGCCACCACATGAAAGGGATTAGTGGCTACTTTCCTGTACGTAGATGAATCTCCCAATAGGCGCTTCACCTCTTTAACATAGTTTTATTCATTTAAAATAACTACATTGCCCCCCTTATCACTTCTCTTAATTACAATATTCTTGGTCTCTTTTTAATTCTTTGAGGGCTTTTCTTTCTTTCTTTGTAAGATTGTCACCAATTGGCATTTTCCACTCAAGATTTTGAAGATCATCAGCAACAAAATCTAGAAATGCCGATATCCTCATGTTGGAACGTATTTTCGGCATTTTTGTCGATCTAATATTTAGATCGACTTTTCTAATCACATCATTGTGATTATCCAGGTCTACTTCATTCTCATCACCATCTTCACTTTCCTCCATGAGAGATATCAACATATCGAGCATCTTGCGGTCCTCCATGGAAGAGTCAGAGGCCATATCTTCCAACATAGTGGGATTACCATGTACCATTCTTAAAAAAACTTTTCTTAGAAATAAATTAACATCTTTGAATACTTCAAACTCATCCATGGGGGTCACTGGTGAAAAGGACATACCTTTATTTAATAAAGAAATATGTTCCCTTCTGAGTGGAAAATTAGCCAAGTTGATTACCTTCTTATCATGGGTAATCTCATCTACTACCTCCTTCTGACTTCTTGTTCTGCCCTTGTCCTCCTGATGTTTGCTTTTTAAGGATTCCTCTATTTTCTTTTTGGATCCTCTTCCCATCTGTAGTTGATTGATTCGGGGAGGTTCTCCATCTTGTTGGTCTAAAAAAGATACAGATTTTCCGAGATTTTCAGAATCACTTTCACTAGACACAGTTTCCCCCATTGATCTAGAATGTGAATGAAATACTCTTCGTTTAGATCGACTTCTACTTCTTGCACACCCCATGTGAACAAGACCTTACAGTAGATGCTAAAACACACTTATCAACTGCCACTAGGGGGCAGTACAAGCAGCCATGCAAATGCACAATGCACTAACACATTATGCCATGGTCACAATTAGAGATGAGCGAATTATTCAAAAATTCGGTTCGGCTGATTCGCCGAATTCGCGGAATAAAATTCGCTTGAGCCGAATATATTCGCTGCGAATTTAACTTATAAAAAGGGTGTTTCTAGGCTTCAGAGAGCCTTTATATTAGTGCAGAACACTGAACCTTTAATTTAAATGCCCTTGGAGTCTGCTGGGGAAGAGAAATAATACTGTCAGTCAGTATGACATGCAGATGAGTGCCGTCGATCTTAGAGCTATCACCGCACACTTCACTCATTTGGGCAGTCACGGGGCCAAAACCAGAGTGTGAGCCACAGTGTGGCGGTGGAGGCAGCAGCAATGGGAGGCCATACAGCACCCTATGACAAAATGGAACCCACCAGCAGTGTGAGGAGACCTGAAAGTGGCACATGGCAGAGTGTGGCGATGGAGACAGCAGCAATGGGAGGCCCGTACAGGGACCCATGATACACTCTGGGACCTGGCAGCAAGCATGAGGAGCGGTACAGGGCCCATGACAGATTACGGGCCTGGCAGAAGCATGAGGAGTCGGTACGGGTGGCCCATGGCAGATTACGGGCCTTCGGCAGCAGCATGAGGAGGCGGTATCACGGGGGGCCCATGGCAGAGTGGCGGAGCGTAAGCAGCTTAAAATTGAAGGCCATACAGAGGCCTAGTGTTAAAAAGTCCCCCCATCAGCAGCAAGCGTGGGGAGACGACTATCAAGAGTCCAATGGCAGAGTGGCGGAGCAGAAGCAGCTTCAATTGAAGGCCCATACACAGGCCTAGGTTTAAAAGTCCCTCACAGTTAATTCCAATAACTAACTCTAAATGACTCCCTCCGTGCA